CACAATGAATATTATCCAATGTTATGCACCCACCAATGATAGCAACGACGACATTAAAGATCAGTTCTATGGGTGGCTGAAATCAATCATACAGAAGTGCCCAAGAAAGGACTTCACCATTCTGGTGGGTGATCTAAATGCCAAAGTCGGAATAGACAACACCGGATATGAAGATATCATGGGACGACATAGACTGGGAGAGAGAAACGAAAATGGAGAAAGATTTGCAAATCTATGTGCATTCAACAAATTGGTCATAGGAGGCACAATATTTCCACACAAGCGTATACACAAGGCTACATGGATCTCACCGGACCACACTACAGAGAACCAAATAGATCATATTTGCATCAACAAAAAATTCCGAAGGACAATGGAAGATGTGAGAACCAGGAGAGGTGCTGACGTAGCTTCAGATCACCACCTAGTTGTAGCCAATTTAAAACTGAAGCTAAAAAAGAACTGGACAAGTGGACAAACAGCACTACAAAGGTTCAATACAGCCTTCCTTCGAGATACTGACAAACTCAATGAATTCAAGATAGCTCTCAACAACAGGTTCCAAGCCTTACAAGATCTACTGAAAGAAGAAGAAACTACTATGGAGGACAACTGGAAAGGCATCAAGGAAGCATTAACTTCAACGTGTCAAGAGGTTCTGGGCCTAAAGAAACACCATCATAAGGAATGGATCTCTATAGAAACACTGGACAAGATCAAAGAAAGGAAGAACAAGAAGGCAGCAATTAACAACAGCCGAACACGAGCAGAGAAAGTCCAAGCACAAGCTGAATACATAGAAGCAAACAAACAAGTGAAGAGGAGCATTAGAGCCGACAAGAAGAAATACGTGGAAGAACTAGCAACGACGGCAGAAAAAGCTGCTAGAGAAGGAAATATGAAACAGCTTTACGATACAACGAAGAAACTAGCAGGGAAATACAGTAAACCAGAGAGGCCGGTCAAAGACAAAGAAGGCAAGCCAATCACCGAAATTCAACAACAGCGTAACAGATGGGTAGAATACTTCGAGGAACTCCTGAATAGGCCGGCTCCAATGAATCCACCGGACATCGAAGCAGCACACATAGATCTTCCTATAGATGTCAACCCACCAACGACGGAAGAAATTAGAATGGCCGTCAGACAAATCAAGAACGGGAAAGCAGCAGGACCCGACAACATACCAGCTGAAGCACTGAAATCAGACATCGAAGCAACCACAAGCATGCTATACCTTCTATTCAAAAAGATTTGGGAGGAGGAACAAGTGCCGATGGACTGGAAAGAAGGACACCTCGTCAAGATTCCAAAGAAAGGAGATCTGAGCAAATGTGAAAACTACAGAGGCATTACACTACTGTCAATACCAGGGAAAGTCTTCAACAGAGTGTTGCTGAACCGGATGAAGGATGCAGTAGACGCCCAACTTCGAGATCAACAAGCTGGATTCCGTAAGGATCGGTCGTGCACAGACCAAATTGCAACACTACGGATCATCGTCGAACAATCAGTTGAGTGGAACTCATCACTATACATCAACTTCATTGATTATGAAAAGGCATTCGACAGTGTAGATAGGAGGACATTATGGAAACTTCTTCGACACTACGGAGTTCCTGAGAAGATTGTCAACATTATCCGGAACTCATACGACGGACTACAGTGCAAAGTAGTGCATGGAGGACAGCTGACAGATGCATTCCAAGTAAGGACTGGAGTCAGACAAGGCTGTTTACTCTCTCCCTTCCTCTTTCTTCTGGTGGTCGACTGGATTATGAAGACCTCGACATCTGAAGGAAAACACGGAATACAATGGACAGCTCAGAATCAATTAGACGATTTGGACTTCGCAGACGACCTAGCCCTCCTATCACGTACACACGAACAGATGCAGATGAAGACAGCCAGTGTAGCAGCAGTCTCTGCATCAGTAGGCCTCAGCATACACAAAGGGAAAACCAAGGTCCTCAAATTCAAAGCGGAAAACAGCAATCCAATCACTCTTGATGGCGAAACTCTGGAAGATGTAGAGTCCTTCACATACCTGGGAAGCATCATCGATGAACAAGGAGGTTCAGATGCAGACGTAAAGGCGAGGATCGGCAAAGCAAGGGTCGCATTCCTACAATTGAAGAACATATGGAACTCAAAACAACTTTCAACCAATATCAAAGTGAGAATCTTCAATACGAACGTCAAGGCAGTTCTACTGTATGGAGCTGAAACTTGGAGAACTACAACAACCACAATCAAGAAAGTACAAGTATTTATAAATAGCTGCCTACGCAAGATACTCAACATCCATTGGCCGGATACCATCAGCAATAGCCTTCTGTGGGAGAGAACAAACCAACTTCCAGCTGAAGAAGAAATTAGGAAAAGACGATGGAAATGGATAGGACATACATTACGCAAATCGTCAAACTGCATCACGAGGCAAGCCCTAACTTGGAATCCTGAAGGGAAGCGAAAAAGAGGAAGGCCAAAGAACACATTGCGTCGGATAATAGAAGCAGATATGAAAAGGATGAATTACAACTGGACGGAGCTAGAAAGGATTGCCCAGGACAGGGTTGGATGGAGAATGCTGGTGAGTGGCCTATGCTCCTTCACGAGGAGTAACAGGCGCAAGTAAGTAAGCAAGTACTGTTCCGTTCAGTCGGACAGCGCACAAACTACTGTCTACTGGGATCCACTCTAAGAGAGCTAGTTCTGCCCTAGGACTCAGTGCTATACCTACGCCGGTGAGGCCACGGAAAGCAGAATCAGGGCTTCCAGATTCACGAAGTGTGAATGAAGTTGGTTCTTTATTTTGGCATGGTGAGGTCAGATGAATGACGCTACTCGGATCCTGTATGCGCGTTTCGGAGACGCAGTACACATCGATGGCGCGGGATTCTAAAGTCTTAGCTAAGGAAGCCTGTTGTCCTATTTGACGCAGTGTTCGGACGTTAAAAGCTCCTACGTGTAGTTTAGAGTGTGGTTTCAGGAGACCAGAAATAAAGTTCCGCGTACTCGAATCGTTTGCCTTAGCGGTGGGAGATGATAAAGAGACGTGAGAAGGGTTGGTCATGGAGATAAGAGAGGTATTAGGAGGTGTAGGAATGATTTGAGTGTGACCAACTTGGTCTCATGTGCTGTTACGGGTATGAGGGCTGATATCACTTCCTGGCTGCCCACATCATGGAAGGGTATTTCTTGAGGAACCTGAAAAGGAAATTGGATTAGTGTTGGTCTTAAAGACCTGGGAGCGTGACTGCAGAGCCCAAGGGACAACTGTTTGAGGCCGGTCGCGCACGGCCTTTTTATAGGAGGTTTTCGACGTGTTAGCTCCGTTTTTCAAAGGGCCTTACCGCCGGAGACGGAAATCCGTGAGGTAAGGTGAGGTGTGCATTTTTAGGGTCGAACTTTTCTGACCCCACCCCTACTTGGGGAAGGCAGCATCGCTGCAGATGCTGGTTGTCCGAGGGAAACAGCTTACTGCTGTCACATTCCTCTACAGTCATCAGTACGACTTCGCCCTCAGACCTTGAGTTGCTGCTTTTAGTCTTACCGTTCTCCAATCGACCTGCCTGGCATGCTAGAACCTACAGGAACATATGTTCCAGCCAATATAGCTCGGTTGGGTCATCACGATAGGCAAGCCCGACCACCGCGTCAAGGTTGCAGCTTCGGTCGGGAGCACATAAATCATTCGATTTGTTTGAGGGCTGGGATACTGTCTGGGTGCCCACACTGAAACAGGTGGTTTTCCTAGGGCACCGCACCCAGAGCCTTCTATCTAAGGGTCTGATCCACAAGGCAGTGGAGCAAAGTTAGGAGATGCACTCCCATAGTAGCCGGCGACCACCAATAGGTTTATACGCCTTTTGTTCCCTCAGGATACTGAAGCCTATGTGCACCATTGGTTTGAAATCAGGGTTTTCCAACTCCTCTAGGTGAAATCTCTGAGTCCATCAACCCGGTTGAAGCGCCGGACATCGTCCTCTCAATTTCTTAAACAACACCTCTCCGCGAGAAGACAGTGAGTAGGACTTCCCTGGTAGTGATTGTATATGCGTGGCCGTGTAAGAGCATTTCGGGAGAGAGTGCTGACTCTCCCCACTCTCTGCTGCGCCTGGGCATTCGAGGGCGTCATTTAAATTACGATAAATTCGATGTTCTATTTGTTTTTCACTTCAATTGTAAACCTCAATACTTGGTAACAGTTATTTAAAGTCTGTAGAATGTGATTTAGATGACAGTGATTATCAAAAGTAATGTAGGCTCTATTCAACAGTTCAAATAGATAATCAGGCATATCTGAAAAGTGGTCATAATGAATTTATCAGAAGCTTCATAATCAAACGTCTTGTGAACAGACTCAACGTCTAAAGACGTCTACAAAGTAAATAGACTCCTGTCAATGACACTGACCTTCCACATTCTTAGCGCTGTTAAAAACTTCGTCATACATCTAGAGAAACTAAAACTGTATACAAAAGAAAGTTATTGTACCTATCAAGGTCTTAACCTCTAGTTTTCCAAACCCATTGCCCTCCTCCCCTCTGTTGACTTCTCCCCTGACTTATTTCTGATGACGATGTTATTTCAATCCTAACATTTGTTCTTATCATTTTACAACGATCCTTTTATACAATTACTAATCTATATTTTGATTAATATTCAAGATCTTAACCAATATATTTTCGATTTTTTTTATATATTTTACCTCTATTATGTTCAGTAAATTACTACTGTTATTATTATTGTTAACAAACGTATTGTTAATCATCATTTTAGAAAAAAAATATTTATTTACGATGATACAGCTTTGAGAATGGATTAGCCGAATAGAAGACTATTCTCTGAATTCAATTTTGTTTTTTTTTTACGTTTCAATGGATGCTTCCCATCTTATTCATTTTTTAAATAATGACTTTGCATTCTTTAGCGAAGAGCATATCATATTTTCAATAAAATGCTTCTTATTATCCTTATCCATTTTGATCTTATAGATATAATGGTAATAGTCTACTGGATACTGTAGAGTCGTACGATCCAATCGAAAATACGTGGTGGCTACACGAAGAAAGTAGAATGAATCATGAGCGATGTGACACTGGTATGTGTGTTGTACGATTCCCAACGTGTTCTATCAGTCAAGATACTCTTACGCCAATTCTAACATCAAGAAACGTAATGAACTCCACTAATATTCATTCATCTCCATCAGCTGTTTCATCTGCTTCGGTTAATTTTCATTCAGCAATCAATCAGTCATCCACTTGGCAGCTAAACGACTTTAACACAAATCGAACTAATAATGTACGCATAAACACACAGATTTCTGTTGGTCACGCTAATCCATCATCATTTCAGGGTAGTCCATCATCATCCACTCGAAATGTTCTGTCTTCGTCAGTCAGTGAACCCTTTCGTACTGGTTCACAATTTGGTTGTCCATCCGCAAGTATGAATGCATGTAATGTTAATTCTCAATCTCCTGGAAATTCTCACCTGTCTTCCACTCATCGTAGATCTAATCGTCAAGTTCGTAGTCATTCTTCACGACAGAATAGTTTGTCAAATACTGCTTCTGTTAATGGGAGAGAATTAAGAAACTCTAGACCACCAAGGCATTTACTTTCGTTGACTGCATCCAGTTTATATCCTGGTAATATAAATGTTTGGAATCCCAAAAGTATGCGTTTACCATATGTTGCACAAGGAATGCACAACCCCAGAAATAATAGATCACTTCTTCCATCCTTGTTATGCAACCCACATAATATTTTACACTGTAACACTACACCCATATCTCACTTAACTCAACAGGTCGAGAATCCATTATTAAATCATAATGAAACTCTTAGCCATACTTTAGATAATATACCTTCTTCCTCTGATGAATCTTATATCATCCAAAATAATGAATCTACTGTCAATTCTGCATTCAGTATGATGCAACAAACGGACCAACTACTAGACAACTGCGGAAACGTTGACATAAACGAGTTAGCCTCTAATCTTAATGCTTCTCATTTTGATGCATCAACTGTTACTGGGTCTCACTTACCAGCATCTCAGAGAAGCAGTTGCAGTAGTCCTACTTTGGTATCTGATATACATCATTCTGCTCCTGAATATGGCTCTTCTGCATCATGTAAGCATGATTTGTTTAGATCCGTTGATGCAATTAACCGTCTTGATTCAGATAACGTTTTCTGGTCAATATCCAATATATCGACATTTTCCGTCATAGAAAACCCTACTGCTAGTACTTTTCCAAAGGCCACCACTTTTAATGAGGACTCATCTAATAACGTAGTTATTGGGACGCAAGCTGATAATATTTCTGGGAATGTTAATTTAGATAATATTCCTAGTAGAAACTATGTTAGTTTGGTGAGCGATTCACCTGATGAACAAGATCATACTAATGCGTTTGGTGATGTTAGTCGAGAGCATGGTGATTTGGTCAAGTGTACTGATCGTTCAAGTTACAAAACGCGCACTTTTATGAACACTTTGATAAATAAACCAAGAGAACTTCAATCAAATCCATGTGTTTTATCTTCAAATGATTCTTCTGAATTACCTTGTGAACAACCATGTGATATCACTTTAGCATCCAGTTATTCGTGTAATTCTTCAGTCTCCATACCAATTGCTAAAGTTAAGCCATGTTCTTCAACAGTCGTGGAAAATTCATGTACAACAACTTTAAATGCACTACCTCCTCCCATACGAAACACATCTTCCACTCAACAAGTAAATGACCCATCAATCTGCCGTAACAAGCCAACATTTGACCAACTATGTCAGCGATATAAGCCTGTAATGCCCCATTCGTTTAAAACTGATCCAATATGGCCCTTTAGATATAATACTGAATCGTGTCAGACTCATGGTGCTCAAGAAGATAGAATAATTACTTCGGCGAATGATCAGAAGGCCTCATCTTCATTATGTGAAGTTAATGACCAGGTAAGACCTTTACCATTTTCCATTCATGATATGAAATATCACTCGTTTAGTACTAAATTATGTCGTCCAGATTGTTACTACTACAAAGGCGTTTTATTGTTAGATTAGATAATATAGTATTAGTGTGATTCACCTTTTGTGTCAGTCAGCCATAAATAACACAGAACATGATGGGTTCAAGTTACCACATTAGTGCAGCGAGTCTTCTATATATTGCCACGATTGACTTAACTACTCTTATGAATATCCGGTCTTCATTTTGCTATGCTAATGCGGTGTGGCAACTTGGACCGATTTATATATGTGCCTGGTCCTACGTTGTAGCTGGCTGACTGAGTACAGCAAGATTATCAATGATAATATTTGCCTAGTACTCTGTCCAACCGCAGCTTTGCTCTCTAGATAATCACAACATTTTGTAGCTAAGTACGGTAATGGTTTAGTCGTTGTTTGTCGAGTTGAAGATAACGATTGTTCTGTATGTTTAACAAATAAGGTTACTAATCAGCATCCGTGTAAATGGCAAGCATTCAAAAGTACCTACTATTTATGTGCAAAATGGCAAGAAAATCAGATTTCAGACTAAATGATTTCGTTTTACTTTCATTAAACACGCTTTTTTTGCTTTTATTGTTTGCTTTCAAGAGAGTAATCACCATAGGGGAAACCTCTTTTGTTTTTGGTGTCAGCGAATCATCTCACGCGTATTCTGAATCAGATGATCTGCTAATCAGAAACCAATCAGATAATCCTAATCAGACTGGTGTTTCTGTGAAGCCAGATGTTACGTGCACTACATCAGTCGTTGAGTCCATACACTCAACAGGTGCTCATGGATGTAGTTCGTCAAATTCTGATGATGCACTTGTAAACCAACCGCATAGTCTAATAGATAATCCATCTAATTGTGAGCCTGATATAACGTTATGTACAGTGGTTTGCAATCCAGGTAACGTGGATGACAGTCCAGAACCACAACCGGATACAAGATCAGATGGTGAAGGAGAAGAAGGAGACGACTTAGATGTTGTCCTGAGGAATCCTGCAGTTGGTCAGGTTGACGATGATTTATGATCTCATATCATATTTTTTTGTGAATTATATTCATTTTTATTAATTTACTATTGTCCTACATGGTGTTTATTGTATCTATCATTCTTTATTTGCTTAGTTATTGTGTTAGTGTGACCGAATAATTCTGCAAACGTTTTCAGCCGTCACTTACACATGATCATTTGTCTGTTTTGTTCCATTTCCCCTTTTGATTGATTTTGATGCATCTTTGGTACGGTTTGTTCCCAAACTTTATCTCTTCACATTTGTATATTTTTAGTCATAACAAGGTGATACTTGATTTTCTTTAAAGCTTCCTTGTGTTTATATCGTTAGGACTACGGGCGATCGTGTAGTCTCAGTCTTAAGTGTTGTGTACTGATTTGTTTGTACGTAGCTGTGGTCACACGATCTCGTCTGTGTTCAAGATATAACACTGATTGAGTGTTAGTTCTACCAAAATATCTACACAAAGAAACTAATGATTTTTACAATAATCAACACTTTAAGTCATTGACGTTATCTCGTAGAACATAACTATCAGTCTCCCACTACATAGTGTAGTGATTACAGTCCGAAGTTGTCATTATGATAAAACTCCAAAATAAATATCTGCTTCAATATTACTCTTGTTACTGCTTACTGAGCTAGCTGGTTAACCACTAAATATGAGTATTACCTACGTACGAGATGACTATAGCAAACTTAAGAGGTTTATATAGCTATAGCATCATGTCTTACCACGAATTCAAGCGTTAAGAAGAGATGCGACATACCTATTGATAGTTTGAGTACTTTTCACGTATATGAATCACAGCGTTTTTCAGATAAATAAAACATTTCGAAAAACCGTGGGAAGATACCTTATGCATTTATAGTCATACTACAATGGTTGGCAGTTTTTCGCTTCCTAATGTTAACACGGGTTTCTCAGCAATAATGGTAAGTTCTTGACATCAGATGCGCCTTTTATAGACATGATTAATATGGTACAACATAGATTAGAAGGAAGCACTTTATCACAGTAGTATAATCGATAACGTTGTAATCGTAAGAAAGCAAATATAACGTCTAGGTGTGGAGCGATACTGCTTATCAAGAAAATCTTTGTAACAAAGTGTCGAACACGGCCTTAAGTACTGGTGTGACACTGTTTAATATGTGTACATGACTTATAGTACAAGATTGAGATAGAAGGTCCATGACAAATGTTACATCTTTGTGGTACTGAAAGAAGGACAAGCAACAGAACCAACATTTGTAAATTGCCGGTTGTGTAGCTGTTTGCTATAGAACCAACTAACGTGTTAATTTGACGAAACAGTCTAACTGCATTCTGTTGGCTGACTGTTATTCAAAAATCTTAAGACAAATTATGTATTAGAGAGTAGTGAGCATTGAGGTGTGAAAATATACCTCAGAGCTAAATTAGTGAAAGTTAAAGCGTGTTGACTTTAAAACGTCGATACAAGGAACAAGTGAAATATAATTTTTGTTGTATCCCAGTGAGTAGGGAAACCATGTTTCTGACGTTTCGTCACTTAATGTAAGCCCCTTCCTCAGAGTAAATAATGTCTTTCTACTCGTCAAGATGTAACAGAAAATATATTCATTATTACCGTTTTATCTGATGCTCAATTCATTTGAAACCAGGGACTCAGTCAGCTACAACGTAGGACAAGGAACATATATACATTGGTCCAAGTTGTCACACCTCATTAGCACAACAGGATGAACACCGAATTCATGGAAGTAGTTACTTGAATGATAGTAATATGTAAAAGAAGTATTGCATATAAAGCTATAGTATAGAAGAAAGAATTAGTTCTTAGAAGGAAAGGTATAAATTAGGTTAATCTCACAGTTTAAGGGAAGACAGATTGTGTATATACCTACACTATTGTGATCGATTCTGATTTATTTCACCCAGCGTCTTCAACCATTATAATAGCCGCGCGGACCCAAGTAGTCTGTATCTATCAACATGACTCAGACTAGAAGTTAGTGAGTTCAAGGACTGACGCTATGTTTTGGTTTGTCCGCCCCTAACTTTCTTCCAACCATCCCCAACACTAGTCGGCATTGTGCGTCGTGGTAATCGGTGTTCAGGCATACGTAACACGTGTCCCAACCATCTCAGTCGATAAAGATTCACAACCTCATCAACTGATTTATCATCATTCCCTAATGCCCTGCGTCTAACCTCACTATTAATTACCCAGTGATCCCAGCAGATGCGAGCAATATTTCTAAGACATCAGTGATCAAACACTAGTAGCTTACAAGTATCTTCTACTCTTAATGGCCACGTTTCGCAGCCGTAAAAAAGAGTAAAACGAACTGCTGCGCAGTAAACTCGTCCCTTAATTGATAGCCGGATATCTCACCTTCGCCATAGGTGACATAAGTTGTCAAACGCCAACTGAGCTTTTCGAATCCGTGATGAGATTTCGTCAGACACCAACCCATTAGGGCTGATCAGAATTCCATGATAAGTGAAGTTGTCGACGTGTTCAACTACTTCACTCCCTATCCTTAGTTCAGGTGTTGACGCAGACTAGTCCTGTAGCAACAATTTGCATTTAGAAGGAGAGAAACGCATCCCAAACATCCTGGCATTGTTGCTCGGTGCTACCAAAAGACTGCATTTTATCAGCGTCTTCACCAAACAGGACTATATCATCTGCGTATTCTAAGTCGACAAGTGGACCTCCTAGCAGAAGATCAATGCCCGAAAATTCAGCCGATGAGAACGTTATTTCCAGCAGTAGGCTTATGATGGAATTAAACAAAAATGGAGATATTGAACAGCCTTTTCGGTTACCACTTGAGGGTGTAAACTCAGATGACAGTTCGCCATAAGCTCTTACTCGACTGGTGGTGTCCGAGTAAAGAGCCTTCACAAGGTTTATGTACTTCTGAGGTACGCATTTCAATGACAGACAGTGCCACAGAACCTCAAAGGCTACTTTTAATTTCAGAAAAACTATCATTGTCGGATGCCGATACACAAGTTTGTGTTCTAGAACCTGACGAATGGTGAATATGTGGTCGAAGCAGCCACTATCAGTTCTGAAGCCAGTCTAATTTTCTCGTGTTTGTAGTTCACCAGTCTTAGTTGCCCGATAATTATTGAAGCTAGTATTTTAGATATTATATTAGTTAAACTAATCCCTCTGTGGTTATCACAGGGTGATTTTGACCTCTCCTTATATATTGGGACAATCAGTGATTGCGTCCAGTCAATGGGGATTATGTTCAACTCTCAGATCTCAGCGAAAATATTAGTCAACCTAACCGTTGGAATTGGAACACCATACTTAAAGACCTCTGGAGCCAATCCATCAAGACCAATTAAGTTGGGACTATTTATGTTACGTTGGGAATTAATAGAAAGTCGTGTGTAGGCAAACACACATAAATTGTTCACAATGCGGTTGAGGAAATATAATACCTTTATAAGATACAGAGATTAAAATCTTTTGTACCACTATCCTAGAAAGAAATGGTGTTATTTGTATGAACTGATGATTCATTTGCACTTGATAACTGCCTGATTTCCTATTCCAAATACAATACGTTCGTTCGTGTTCTACTAGGTTTGAAGCTATTACGAGTTCACTTAGTATGCGAACGGAACAAAGACTTATGACTATAGACCAATAAGCTAGCGAAAACGAGGAATTTTAAATTTCCAAAATAAAATTATAAAATTAAGGCATTTATCAAGTGAGTTCTGGGGATCTAGCACCCCAGAAATGTTCACCTAGTACTTCTTGGCTTAATTGAATGATTTCTGCTATTCCTAGTTCGTACTATAATTTGAATACTTCGAACCATCGCAGTATCGTCCCAACAGTGTGAGCGGGATTTGTGGCTTGTTAAAAGATGAAACGGCAATACTATAATTTATGGACGACCTATGAGCGACGCTAAAATGACCTTGAGGGTGTCTACCCACTTACTAGGGCTAAATGAGGGTTATGAAGCAGTTTAAAGAATAAGGATTATGATTTACAGTTGATGGTTAGGGTTAAGAATTCGATTTAGGGTTTTCATCACGAACTGACATAAGCTATAATACTAAGTCTCTATTTAGGCAAATGGGTGAATGAACTTCGCGCCAAAATCTAAGACCTGTTATCGTAAATCTGATTGGTTCGTCCATAAATTATAATCTCGCCGATAAAACATTTCTAAAAGATCGATAGTGGATGAAGACAACGCCGTATAACATTTCGCACCCTTATCTTTAACCAATAATGAGATTGTCAATCGCAATAATGAACATGTATTTGATGCACTCAGGTCTCTGCAGGATATCCATAAGCAGCAAAGTGGTCTGAAGATAGCATTCACATTAAAGTGATGTTATAGTCTACAATATATCAACTACCAATTATTTGTTTGTACAGGGGTTAGAAGGGGGATAAATAGGTTTACGAAACACGTAATACCGCGTAAAAAATAAGGAAATTGTAGTTTTCCTGGAGACAGGATTACAGCGTTGACACTATTATTATGGAGATTCATCAACATAGCACTGATTGTTTCCCCTATTGCGTGTGCACAAAGTCTACTTGAAACTGTTAATCACCTGTCAATACAGTCTCGCGGTGACTCCATTGGATCTGTTATTGTGTTCAACCGACGTTACTTCTAGCATGGGTGTACTGTATGTTCAGAGGTGGACGTTACGAAACTCTAGTCAAAATATATGTCAAGCTGTGAAAAATCTTCGGTCTGAAAGACTGATCAGCAGTTAGTGAATGGTCGACAAATAATTCATAAATCCAACTAAGTTTAAAGCGGACGGATGAATGGGCGACCTGACGTGCTCTTCTAATTTTCTATCCTGTGCTCAAATCTGCTGTCCAAATATTTTAAGAGGACAGGAAAGGTCAGCCACCACGTTTGAATGGTCAAGAGCAGAACTGCACTGCCCACTATTATGACTGAAACGTTGAAGTGGGTTCAGATTTGTTCACTTCTCCATTATAGATGGGTATTACATCCTCCCAATTTTACGGCACATGAACTCTATGTGCAGTTGTCTAAACTCGACTACTTCAGAGTTATTTCTAAAGTTACCCAAATAAAGAGCTTAAACATGACCAAAGTGATGTTTTTTATATTCCCACTCACTGGGAATGTAGTACTTATCACTAGAATACGAATTGAAACTGCAATAATTGTTTTAACTATAAAAATCAATATGATGTGATTAAAGTGAAATGGAAAACTAGATAAATGATGACGCGAACGGAAATTATCCACGTTCACTCTAACCCCTACTTTCCATCAAGAGCTGGAACTAATTGTATTACTACAGTCATAATTAATTTTATCTAGAACATCATTTTTGCCAAGTTCTTTTGGAGCGTAATTCGTACGATTCCTATTCGGTGAAGTTCGATGGGTGATATGAATTTCTAAGAAATTTCAAATACCCACAGAAGATACCCATGGCACTCCTTTGTGTTTACTCCGTTGCAGAAGAACCCATGAAAAGATTCTTAAAATGATGACGGAAGTGACTGTCGTTACCTCTGAGTGTATTAAGATCTCAAACACTTAGTCGTGAGTTAGTCACCTACCTTCAATGGCTCTTCGTCTCTTAAGCTG